GTACATCATTAAACACTTTTTCTACACCTAATATGCTTACGATCATTAAAAAACTTGATATATTTTTTTTACGAACAATGGAAATTTTGCAAAATTTTAACCAAAAGCAAGGTAGAGTCCGATTTTGCAAGTGTGTAAACGGGAGGAGGTTTGAAAAACGGCGGGTAACTCTGCAGAGCTTTTTCTACCAAACGAAAGACGTACTCTAAAACTTGTTTCTTTACTCATTTAAAGTATACTTAATATAAGAACATGCTTCATGTTTCTACCTTGTTGACATTCCCGTCTTCATAACATGAGCCGTTTCAGGGCATGAAGGGATCTCCCGCCATTTTTCCGGTTCTGGCTAAACGGCTGATATACCGCGCGTTGTACCGCGGTACAACGCGCGGTACATCAGCCGTCCTTTTGTCTCAGCTTTGGGGATATCGGCACACATCTCTCAAATTTGGAAAGTTCCAGCTGGTTATGAAAGGGGTTCTAAGCTAAGCAGAGAGGGAGAACTTTTTAGCATAAATACTAAAGACTGGCTAGTAACCAAGTTCAGTCGTTTGTCCAAACAGCCACAAGGATGTTACGTGACTATAAACCTAGAGGTTATGAATTAAATTTTAAAAGGCACCTTAAAAATAACAGGATTTTTTTATTCATATAAAGATATTTTATTCAAATTAATAAATTTATACACATTTTGGAATAAAATTGCGCTAAATGCGAAGAAGTCACTTAATAAATGGAAATAGCTCAAATAAATGACCGTTGCAGAAGCTTCCTAAATCAATGTTATGGGTCCTATTCTTTTAAAAATAGGCCCTTTGGAGGTTTTCAGTCACAGGGTAGAAAACCTCCATGATGGCCACGGAGGCAAGACAGAAAAAGACCACATCATCTAGTCTTTGCCTTGTCCAAAGCTTTTTCTACGCCCCAGCATGGCGGTTTTGTATCATGTGACTGACGACCTGCAAATGGCCCATTACTACGGTTCGCATAAGATCCCATCGGCCTGAAACTAATTGAAAACCTTATGAAGTTTACACAATGTAGTAAAATTCCTTATCGCTTTTAACAAAGCGAAACCGAAGGGTAACAAATATTAAAATTGAAACTCGAAAAGATGTTCACAGAGTTTAAGGCCGATTTGTAATTTAACACAGGTTAAATCAATACACTGAATTACAATGAATTCAGTCTGCTTAACTGGAAAACGTAAGTGAGGACGTAAAGACAATGATGCTACCCTCAGCACACTTAAGCGAAACATTAACATGGGCATGTGGGAAACTACCCATTTCCGTAACGGGAAATCAATTTTCTGGTCCACTTATTTAAAAATTAACTAATTAAGTGGTTTAAATATTACTAATCTGAATATTACACAGCCGCATCTGAATACAGTAGAACCCCAGTAACCCATTTTTTTAAAACTCAAAACAGCTAACTCTAACTCAGAACGGTTCGAGTTAGTAGAAAATTCGAGTTATAGGGGTAAATTTCAGTGAAATTTTGATCAAGGGAAAGGAAATTTAGTTCGAGTTAGCGGGGAATTCGAGTTATCCGAGTTCGAGTTATCGAGGTTCTACTGTATTTCAGACTCACAGTCCAGGTTTCATCAAGGAAACAACCACCTGCGTCTTGAAGTCGATAAACCGCTTATTTATTTTGCATTTTTTGAGTGTTAATTAATTCCTCGCGATTTCTAGGTGCCCCTTTGATGACTCAACCTGCACGAGGAGCAAGTTTTTAAAAGGGCTTTTTACGCTATTTGCTACCTTTCTGAAAAGCTAAAACGTATTTGGCATCAATTAAATTCCAAAAAAATAATGGTCCAATTTCGTCATCCAAGACTATATTTACGCATTGAATCTGTCTCCTATCGTCTATTGCAAAGAACGGCAATCATGGACATGGATCAGGGACACCCAACGTCACCTTTTGGAAAATATCTGTTCGGAAGACGATTTGAGATCTAGAATTTTCGGAACATTTGATGCAAAATTTCTTTCTTGCCTGCCTCTCCTAGGATTTTCGAACATCTAAAAAATGGTATAATTGCCCATTTTTAACGTATTTTTACGCTAAAAAGGTCACCTAGAATTTTCGGGAGCCTTTTTTCGGGCTGAAATTTTCGAAAAGGTAATTTTTGATTCCTATAACTTTCGGATCACTAGACTTTCAGCTGGGAAATCCGAACAGATGAAAAGTTTTTAGGGGACAAAAATATGCCTATATCTACCGCTTAAATACTAAAATATGATCAACAATTTATGTTTCAGTGATTTTGAACTCTATTCTCGTTGGGTGCCCCTGATGGATTGAAACTTAAATAGGTTGGGCCAACTTTTTCAAGTTTTAATCCTTTGCTGCAAAAAGCACCAAAAAGTATTATGGTTAGTGCTTTCTGATGAGGTTTGTTTGATATCTTCTTCATACCTTCTTCACATCTCTAATGGAACATTTTGTGTATGGGGTAGAGGCACTAAGTAATACCTTCAGCACAGAATTGACCTGAAACAGAAATCCTAGTGACAAAACCCTTTTAAAACAAACGATGAATAGCCAACTTCCAGGTTACTCTTAGACCCTTTCCGGCTATCAAAGTGAGGCCTGGCCCCAGTTTATCAAAAGGTGGATAGCGCTATCCACTGGATAAACCATTATTCAGTGGATAACGCAATTAGTTTTCGTAATACTTTTCCATTGGGTAGCGATTTATCCGGTAGATAGCGCTATCCAACGTTTGAACAACCGGGGCCTTGTGTTCAACTGACAGACTGACAGAAAGAAACTAAATATCTGCCGTTGTTGGATGGTTAAAAGCTGTTGTCAAAAGAAAAGGAAGGGTCAACTTGTGCAACTTTNTGATATCTTCTTCATACCTTCTTCACATCTCTAATGGAACATTTTGTGTATGGGGTAGAGGCACTAAGTAATACCTTCAGCACAGAATTGACCTGAAACAGAAATCCTAGTGACAAAACCCTTTTAAAACAAACGATGAATAGCCAACTTCCAGGTTACTCTTAGACCCTTTCCGGCTATCAAAGTGAGGCCTGGCCCCAGTTTATCAAAAGGTGGATAGCGCTATCCACTGGATAAACCATTATTCAGTGGATAACGCAATTAGTTTTCGTAATACTTTTCCATTGGGTAGCGATTTATCCGGTAGATAGCGCTATCCAACGTTTGAACAACCGGGGCCTTGTGTTCAACTGACAGACTGACAGAAAGAAACTAAATATCTGCCGTTGTTGGATGGTTAAAAGCTGTTGTCAAAAGAAAAGGAAGGGTCAACTTGTGCAACTTTCGCAGCATAGAAAGCATGCATCACGGTCAGGACTTGCTGCATGTTGGTGAACTCTAACTCCTGAAATACAACGCAAAAAAGGTTGTTGTTACAGCTGTAGTCACTGGGCCATAGTAACACTAGTTCAGGTACGCCAAGTGCATTGCTAAGCTATACATAAGCACGAGAACATTTTCAAAAGGACTAGTGAAATCAAATGCTTTTTCGTTCAAAGTTCCAAACGTTTGGCAAGCTCGTACAGGTGAGTTACCCCGCGTGCTTTGTCTCGTTTAAAAGGGCGCCCAAGAAATGAGCGCACTATGATTTTCCAGAAGATCGCGTGTTACGTCACCGACAGGAACGCGCGCAATTCGAGGATCACTTTAATTCATAAAAATTTGCTTCAAACGCGTAACTGGATGGCATGAGTTCACGCTAAGTGCTACAATAGGTCTGCGAGAAGTTCAGAGAACCTGTGGTAAAACGTGGATAACATGTAATGTGATTGGATCCGGCGGTTCAGAGTTTAAGTTCCACTCCGACCACTAGCTGGATTTGTTTATCGGTCGTCTAAAGTTCAAATCCTCCGCCAGGTTTGTAAATAACAAACCGCTTGCCTTCTGCCAGTTGAAGTTTATAATCCTCTTAAGTTCTATTTGAATTATTTGTTTCTAATTAATCAAATAAGTGGAGTTATCTAGAGAGAAAAGCTAAGTGCACTTCCAAGCTTCACCTTTGTTACCTTCACACTTTTTTGCTTCTCAGTATTTTGCCACATTAAAAGAGGGGTACTTATGTTTCTGGATTTTTTACACTTTTGTATTGAAAGGGCAAAGAAAGAATAGAAAGCCTTACCTGTCTGTCAAACGGCCCAGCAGGAGATGAGGAAAATAACAACACAATTTTATGATAACCATCGTCAGACGACCCGCGAAGAAAGGAAAAACGGTATTGCCATAGTAGAGACTAGAAGAGAGCGAATACGATATTATTGTTTTGCTTGCAGAACTACTTATCAGCTTTACTATGAACAGGCTTTCGCAATGGGGGTGTACAGGTTCGTGATTCAGCGGGTATGATGCCGGGTATCTTCCCGAGCCACTCCCAAAACCCATAACAGATACGATATGTTTTCGTCCATATTCGAGAAGACTGTAAATGTCTAAACATTTTAACACACGAAAGATCATCACCTTTATGTACGCAAATTAAAGGTTCTATGTCACATTTTTTGGTATTACTTTAAAACCCTAAAAACTCAAAGAAAACCTTGAAAAAGTGTTTCAGTTTTATAAAATTTCTCTTCTAAATCATAACTTAACCCTTTAAACCCTAACATCAAAATTTCTCTTCTCATTGTTGCCTGTATAAATTTCCTACAGAAGTATTTGGAGGAAGTTGATAAAGCATCGATTGAATTCACCTTGTGTGATCATCTCCTTAATTCTCATCACTACTCTGTTTTATAAAGCACTGATATTACAAGGAGACATTTCATTCTGATCACTCTTAGCGCTAAAGGGTTAACTGTCAGAGCATGTCTTTGGCTTACAAAAACAACAACAACAACAACAACGACGACGACGACGGTCCGGATAGAAAACGAATTGCAACTTGAAAAATAAATTGGGTCCCGCAACTTTGTCAAGTATAACTCCTATGTTGTCGAGCATTGACCAAAACTCGATCGTGCCTTGAATATTGGGCGATATTCAGAATTATACAGCCTTTTCCCCTACTACACAGCCATTTATAATATTTCGCATAAGTTGTAGGAAGTGGCATACAAAGATACAAACCCTGTCTGTAGAACTGTAAAGCCTTAAGCCTCTCTTTAGGTCGAACACAAGCTTGACACTCTGACCACGCCATTTACCGGGAAATGATCGTGACTGGAAAGACAAAGAAAATTGACATTACAACTGTTTCGAAGACTTGTTGCAGTCTAAGCACATTTCAAGTCGCTTGTTATTAGAGGAGAAGTCGTTACGTCACGTTGCCATGGTAGCAAAATTTTGGATGACAACAAGTCAAACCGTCACTTAAAAAGTGGATTCGCACTGTTTCAACTTCATCGATCTTATTTAATTTCATTTAATTTGTCAAATGATGGCGAAATTTTCTGGGTTGAATCTGAAAGGACCGTATCTAAGTTTAGAAAAAGAAAAAGAAAATTTTTGTCTTATGCTCACCGACTCCATAAAGCGGGCGCAGTCGTGCAACAACGGCTAAGAAATATAGAAAAAAGCGTGATGCACGTGCTCTTTTGCCAATCTAAACCTACTGCTTTTTTGCTGTTTTCCGTTGCCGTTGCAAAACTCGACTACCTATTGTTGTGATACAGAAATTTTGCTACCATGGTAACGCGACGTCACACCTCTCCTCTCTATTGTAGTAAATATAACTAACATTACAAACAAGTCCCTTAATTCTGTTCTATACCTCTACTCGTATGACAGCTTNGCATACAAAGATACAAACCCTGTCTGTAGAACTGTAAAGCCTTAAGCCTCTCTTTAGGTCGAACACAAGCTTGACACTCTGACCACGCCATTTACCGGGAAATGATCGTGACTGGAAAGACAAAGAAAATTGACATTACAACTGTTTCGAAGACTTGTTGCAGTCTAAGCACATTTCAAGTCGCTTGTTATTAGAGGAGAAGTCGTTACGTCACGTTGCCATGGTAGCAAAATTTTGGATGACAACAAGTCAAACCGTCACTTAAAAAGTGGATTCGCACTGTTTCAACTTCATCGATCTTATTTAATTTCATTTAATTTGTCAAATGATGGCGAAATTTTCTGGGTTGAATCTGAAAGGACCGTATCTAAGTTTAGAAAAAGAAAAAGAAAATTTTTGTCTTATGCTCACCGACTCCATAAAGCGGGCGCAGTCGTGCAACAACGGCTAAGAAATGTAGAAAAAAGCGTGATGCACGTGCTCTTTTGCCAATCTAAACCTATTGCTTTTTTGCTGTTTTCCGTTGCCGTTGCAAAACTCGACTACCTATTGTTGTGATACAGAAATTTTGCTACCATGGTAACGGGATGTCACACCTCTCCTCTCTATTGTAGTAAATATAACTAACATTACAAACAAGTCCCTTAATTCTGTTCTATACCTCTACTCGTATGACAGCTTCATGAGTGGACTTCTGAACTCGATTTACAATCTCGGTCAAGTCGGACTCTGTGTCTGCAATCCAAGCATAGATGCAAGTTCACCCCCTCATTATACCCAAACGCTTTGATACGACAAGCTACATTATTTCACAAGGACTTAAAATGAAGAAAAAAATTGAACTATAAATGCATTGTCTTCATTCTGTCAGTGCATTACTTATTAGGGTTCTGCATATTGCCTCTTAACAAAAGAAACTGCCTTCCGCCTTAACCTGGTCATTATATCCTTAAATCAAAGCGAGTGCTTAGAAATAGGCCCTTTGCAGCTAAGTCATAATGTGACCTACTTTTCATAAAATTATGGGCTATAACTTAGCAAATTTCAGAAGTGGAAAAAGCATGTCGAAAATATCAAAAAGGCCAAGTTTGAGACCCCCATCATTCAAGAATGAGATTTTATGACAGTCTGAATTTTTTGAAAAATAAGAAGATTTGTTAGAGAGCAAGGCCTTGCTCTCACGCAACATTTTTCATACAAATCCTCTGAATTTTCCGAAAGTTCAAACTGCTGTATAACAGTACTCTGTAATCCCAGGGGCCCAAACTTGGCCATTTTGGTATTTTCGATATGCTCTTTCCATCTCTGGCATTCTTTAAGTAATAGCCCATAATGTAGATTTTTTTAAGGAAAGATTTGATCACGTGACCCCAGATGCAAAGGGCCTATTAACTGGAAAAGAGGGGAACTTTGGAGCTTCCTTGAATCATGACTTTTGACTTACCCACGCCAAGGTAATGGCTATCTCCAGAGCTGGACTGAATGCAAAAGCAAAATTCTCGTTTATCAAGTATCTCATCATCCTGTGAAGAGATTCATAAAGTATTTTAACGACTAATTAACACAAACAATTACGCCTGTCGGGTCTAATTTTCTGGTGATTTACTTGGCAAAAAAACACAGAAAACTATTTTACCTACCCTGCAAGTGTGACATACTAATTCCATCACACTGTATGAAATTTCACTCTGGAGCCAATCTCTTGCAATAACCTAAAAAGGGGTTGGAAACATGTGAACCTGTCCACTTTAACAAGTAAAAAAGGTGAAACGTTCGAAAGGTCACATTTCTTTCCCATTCATAACTCAGAAACGTTTCGGATGTTACAACCATTGCTAAAAAATAATGACACAATTAACCTTATTTGGGCTTAAATGGCCTGTTCATGATCATGTGCTTGTGTACCCCCCACCTCAAACAAGACCATGCTCAAACCTGGAGAAACAGCTTTGAATGGAGGGGAGGGGAGGGGAGAGGGAGGTGAGCGTTATATCTCACAGAAGTGACTAGCAACAATTTGAAGCAAAAAAGGGTTTTTTTGGTCAGTGTTTCATTATATTGGCAAGCAACGTGAACAAAATACCCTTACATATGTTTGGATGTTTTTGTAAAGGGGAGACAAGGACCAAACAGGACTACAATTGCAGCTGTTAAAAGCCGGCCATGTTGGTTCACAACTCCACTATTCCAGAGGGAGTACCTCCCACCCCCGGCTGTTTGCCACTCTTGGGACTTAACCCTTTAAACCCCAAGATCAAAATTTGAATTCTCATTTGTTGCTTTTATTCATTTCCTACAGACGTAGTGGGGAGAAGTTGATAAAATATCAAGCAAATTCATCTTGTCTGATCATGTCCATAATTCTCACGACCACTGTTTCACAAAGCATTGATATTACAAAGAGAAATTTGATGCTGATCACTCTTAGGTCTTAAAGGATGAAAGGGTTAATGGAGGTTCAACTGTAAACATTTAGAGATCAAATCAATACAATTTACATGTACTTACTGGTGGCATATTGAATATCTGAAGCTCTGAGCCTTTGAGTGTTAGAAACTTTCTTTTCCAGACGTTCCAGTGGTTTGTAGATTTCATTCTTTCCCATACCCAGCCCATATATACAACCTGAAATAAATACAACAAAAAAATTAATATCATTTAATTAAAACTGTAGTTGGAAATCCACTTCCTTTAACAGTCATGTATAAAAGGTTGCACAAATGCCTCAAATTGTTACACGCAATGTTGCCTATGGGCATGTGTCAACCGCTCATTTTTTTCTAGGAAAAGAAATTTTGTTGATTTAACAAGGCCCCAGTTGTTTAAACGTTGGATAGAGCTATCCACTGGATAAATCACAATCCAGCAGATTAGTATTAGGAAAACTAATTGCACTATGCACTGGATAGAGATTAATTATCTGGTCGATCTTTGAACAATTGAGGCCAGGGCTTTAAGGTTCAATATCCACATGCAAATTCTCCACACTGACGTCCATAATTTCCTTGAACAATTATTTGAAAGAATTTGTTACAGGATCAAAGAATTTCCCCTTCGGTGATCGTGATCATCATGTATGGCTATTGTTAGGAGAAAACTGATGTTAGTCACTCAGCATTTCAAGGGACAAGAATCATTTAAATTGCACAAGAGCCACATGAGTGAAAGTGCTGTAGGATTGGGCCTATGGTTTTTCGTCTTTATCCAAGAAGACTAAAAGATCTAACTACGTGCAGAGATCAAACAATTAAGCAATATCTACTCCTCAGTTATTTGAACACTCTTAGTGTTGGTCTGGCCGAAATAGACCTACTACTCTGAATTCTGGTACTCAATTTTTTAAACAAACCAGGGGCAGCAGTCATACAAAAGGTGGGTCCAGGTGAGTGAGATGACAGGTGGACATGTATGGTTCTTCTGGCAGTTAGTGTTTCTTCCAGTTCTAGCTTAGTTATAATTTTTTGCAACACAATAACAGTGCAAATGACTGACCTGCTCAGAAACTGGCAATGACGAATTTGAGAGATTCATCTAAAACAAAGAAACAATACAACACAATTATTATATGGCTACAATGGCGCGCTCACTCTGATTGGCTGCTAAATGAGCAAGATTTTCTTGTAATGACCAGACATTACAAGCTCGGTGTCCAAGGCATATACAATCTGTGTTTAACTTGATAGTGGTCATCCTTATGGACATCCGTGTTATGGTCAATTGACAGCTATCAAAAAGGTATCCGCTGACCAGTGTGAAATAACTGTATTGTGGGCTCAAGTGTTTGAAGCGGAGTGTGTTTTTGAATTTATTCTTAGGGAGATGTCAGATGTGACAGTGTATCTCATTCCAAAGCTTAGCCACAAAGCGAGAGAAAGACAGATTACAGTCACAGAACAAGACAAAAGAGGACGAAACAACCTCCAATTCTAAGTTTCCATTTTCAACAGGTGTCTGCCCCACAGGGATTCAAAGAAAATGACTGAAGAAAGGGACTAACTCCAGATGCCATTTTTTGAGGGTAACCATCTCATAGCTGTCTTAAGAGAGACGACTGTATGCAAAAGAATAATTGTTTCTGGTAAACTGCCCACCTACCCCTCCCCTAAGCCAACATTTTGCCCTAAGTGAGAAGTAAGTGTTGATGTTGGCTTAAGGGAGGGGTAGGTGGGCAGTTTCCCAGAAACGTATAATGATCCAGAATAACAGTCTTCAGTTAGATTAAATGAAACAAAATTTTCAACACATTTAATCTCAAACTCTTTGAGTAACTGTCACAGACTATGTTATTATAATGTGCCTCGTTAAACAAGTTAAGGGGGGTGCTGACTTTAGTGTTAGTGTTTTACAGTTGTCAGACCTGGTAGAGCTACCTTAGCAGAGTAGTACAGTGGAACCCCGTTAATGTGACCATAGTTGGGCCATAAAATCCTGATCGTAATAATAAGGTGGTCGCATTAATGGGGTCTTCAAAATAAAAAGATGACTCAGTGTTTTTTACGTTTGGGTCGAAAGAATACGGTCTTATAAACGAAGTGGTCGTAAGGCCAGGTTCCACTGTAATTCACCAGAATTGTATGTGCTGTAAGAGTATGTGCTGCTGTAAGGGTATGGTTTTCAAGCAGTTTACTCTAGGATAGGGTATATAAACCAGAGCGTTTGGGTCAAGAATAGGGCATCATTTTCCAGGAAACTGATCAGTTGGTTGAAGATTTTAGTCTAGACTAGGGAAACCGGGAATAACCACTCAATAATACAACAAATCCGTATTATTGCCGAATGGTATCTGTTGTTCTTTGCAAAGTTTCGCAGGCATCGCATTAAGAACCAAAAAGTTATGACGGAAAATTTGTCACAGCAAAATGCTCTTGTATTAATTACGGAGCCACCTTAAGGGAGGGGTAGGTGGGCAGTTTCCCAGAAACGTATAATTATCCAGAATAACCTTCTTCAGTTAGATTAAATGAAACAAAATTTTCAACCCATTTAATCTGAAACTCTTTGAGTAACTGTCACAGACTATGTTATTTAAAATAATGTGTCTTGTTAAACAACTTCAGGGGAGCGCTGCATGACTTAAGTGTTAGTGTTTTACAGTTGTCAGACCTGGTCTAGCTTAGCAGAGTAGTACAGTGGAACCCCGTTAATGTAACCATAGTTGGGCCATAAAATCCTGTTTGTAATAACGAGGTGGTCGCATTAACGGTTCTTCAAAATAAACAAATGACTCAGTGTTTTTTACGTTTGGGTCGAAAGAATACGGTCTTATAAACGAGGTGGTCATAAGGCCAGGTTCCACACTGTAATTCACCAGAACAACTTACTTCAACCACTAATCCTGCGCCAGGAGGGGTACTGCCATATATGGGTTATATATTAATATAGGTATGTGCCACTGTGAAGGGTATGGTTTTCAAGCAGTTTGCTCTAGGATAGGGTATATGATCAGGAGAGTTAAGGTCTATAATAGGGTATCATTTCCCGGGAAACTGATCAGCTGGTTGAAGATTTTAGTCTAGACTAGGGAAACCGGGAATAACCACTCAATAATACAACAAATCAAAAAAGACAAGTTTAAATTTAGGCAACTCAGCCTGAAAGCTACTCTAAGATAGGGCTGGACTTGGGGAGTTTAGTCTAGTACAGGTTAGCAAAATTCAGCTGAACTAGGGGCGCTTTCCATTTGTCAGAACTGGCCGGCCGGACAAATACCAGACCAGTCAGTTAGCAAATGAAATTGGCTTTTTCCAAGGGTTTTTGCTGAAAAACCACCTTCTTCCCGTACACTGTTTAGGATTTGACTGATCTGGCTGGATAGTTTTGATTAAAAGCGAAATTCTTATTAAGACGGGAATGGTCTGCTCAGTCAGTTCTGACAAATGGAAAGCACCCTAGGTCTGGTATAGGCTAAGGGTTCCAGGGTCCCAGCGGCACACCCCCACCCAAAAATCACTTAAGTATCCCGTGGCCAGTGATCAATTTATGAGTCACTTACTGACTGTTCAAGAAGCATGACTACTCTATCCTTGATGGCAGAATACCATGACAACAGTTCTCCTTTATTTTCACTGTAAAGAACTACTGAGGCTCCACCATCCATTGAACTGACCTCAAATGCATTGTTCCTGTAACAAAATAGCAAATATGATCCAGTTTAGACAACAGTATGTATCAGATGAAACAGTACTTCTTGCTTTTAAGACATCTAAATTTTGGAACAATTAAATTGCATTGTTTCCAAAAATATTTTATACTCTTCCCAAAGAACAACCCCACTCTTTTGGAAATTCTAGTTAAGCTTCATATTTTCCCGTAAAAAAAATTTTGGCCTTTAAGAACCCCTCCACATCCCATTTCTAAATACCCTCCATGGGGTACTGGGTAAGGATGTTTTCTGGAACAACAAATTCTTAATAAAAGTCAACACAAATATTACATTACTGCCATGTCATTATTACCACCATAATTAGGCCCCCTGGTCACTCATGCACATATCTCTGCTTTTTCATCATCATTAGGCTGATTTAGCAACAGAATGGGAATGTCAGTTGACGACGGGAAAGCGCGAAGAAAGGACTAAGCGCGACTTCCAGTGCCCAATTTACCGCTCTGCCATTGGTCAAGCCAATTGTTTCAGTTGCGCGTGCCATAGTAAACTGACGTTTCTGTTCTATTGCTAAATCAGCCTAGCTATTATCTCCATTAGCTAACCTAAGAGAATCCTCCCCTGTCTTGTATCTGGATACTGACGCAAAGGTCAGTGGAAGCACAATGTTGTCTGACCAGCTATGAAGAGAAGAGTTGGAGTCTGTTTCTCCAACTTCAGAAGACTGTGAGAATAGAAATATTCATCATGGTACCACACACTAGTTTGTATAAATCCGATTACATATTGTTCAAAGAGCATGCACTCACATTATGCAACTAGTCATCAAGGTCTGCTCTTTTTAAACAGCAGTAAAAAAACATCTTATGTCACACCAATCGAAATTAAAAAATGACATAGTTTTGGATAACACACACCGCAATGTCAGAAACTCTTAACAGGGCTGTCACTAAGGGCTGGGGGCCGGGGATTTCCCCCGGGGTACAATGAGCATGACCCTGGGCTATTTTCATAGGAAAGAAAAGGAAAATGAGACCAAAAGAACTCCTTAGCTATTAATTTCCCCACCTACTTATTGCAAATACCTGACAATTTGAAATCTTAGTGACAGCCCTGCCATGCTTAAGATGTTTGGTTTTTTGTCATTCATAACCTTTACCATGGCATTCAATCCTTGCTTGTCAAAAAGACTTTCAGTTTGGTTTCTACCCTTACCCTTCAGAATTTCTCCAGCATGATGAAGGCTTTTGCAAACTATAATTATGGAGATAAAGGGCTGTATTTTTGATTGACATCACAGAAAAACCCAAAATCCTACCATAGGTCATATGTTATCTGAAACAGTTGTAAACACTAGTTTGTGACGAGATTACTTATGACAAATAACATGCATTCAGATTATTGCAACTTGTCTTCAAGGTCTGCTCTTCAGTTCAAACAACAGCGAAAAAATCTGATGTCAAACATCCATAACATAAAATTTAAAAATTAAAACACTTATTGCAGTTTCAAGCTCAGATGATCTGAAAAAAAAAATTACCTTTTGACTACTACTTTCTTTAAATTCAGCATCACTTGAAGACTCATCAATACCTCTAACAATTCCATTTGCTGTAATCATGTAAAAATGAATTGCATGACATCATACACCCACATAAGGATTACCAATAGTGCTGCTGTATATATATATGACAACACTTAGATGTCTTTTGATTGCCATTTAATGCTTGGTATTTGATTGATTTGTCTTAATTGCTCATCACAAAAAGATCATTGAAAGATCTCCACATTTGAGGCATAAAATAGTGTCCCTTCCACAAAGTCCTGATTTACCACCCCTTCATTCAATGCTTGGAACATTCTTTCTTTGTGTATTTTTTAAATCCAAGTAGATGACACTTATCTCATAACAACAAATACACTGAGTGCTGCAATTCAAGCCATAGTTTAGGGGTATACTGAAAATTTACAAATGAGGCACTGGCATACAAGAGTTTTTTTTGCACCAATCTCAGCCTTTCAGAGACATATCCTTTAAGCAATTTAATGCTTACCTTGTTTAGATGTAGCTGCTGATGGGGTTGCTTCTGTTGCAGTACCAGACGTAACGGTCGTATCGGCATCTAAAACAAAAAAGGCATTTTTGACTCAGATGTAAGTAGATTGGCAAAAAAGAAGCCACAATGCAATGGACATTTACCAGGGTCACATAGGAACCACAAAAATGGTTGCATACATCATGCTCAAGTTCATTATGCACTGGAAGCTTAAGGAAGAGATAATTGGACCTTCTCTTACATTTAAGTTTGCCTATTCATCGTGCATAGTAAAAGCATGCAACAGTCATACACCACACATTGCACTTTTCACCCCAAAATCTTGGAAGTCCCAATTTTTTGTAAAGAAATTCAATTTTCTTGCAGAATAATTATTTGAATAGCTGGGATTCCATTTCAGCATTTTTAATTCTGTAAAATGCAAAAATTAATAAAGCCTTAGTTATCCTGAGCACTATTATTAATTGTATTATTAGCCTTGGTCTGATTGTACCAGGTGATAGTATGATACATGTTAATGTGCAAGTTAGTGTGTACAGGCCTCACGTCTCAGTGAAAAACCCAAGGAGAGGGACTTGCAGAGGGATAGGATCAGAGCCCCCTAAGTCACAATAGCAACATATAAATCCTCCCGATTGATCTCAACGCATTTCCTACAAGTCTCAGGGTGTTCATTATCATTATTATTATTTTTAAAAATTTGCACCATGCAGTTTCTGTAAAAATATTCAACTGCGCCTAAATAGGCATCGAAGATCATAGAAGATCGAAGATCTATCTATCTATATCAGACACCTGACATCAGATGTCTGGCATCAGACCTCTGACATCAGAAAGCTGACATCAGACATCTGACATTAGACATCTGAAATCAGACATCTGACAACCTGCATCTGATTCTGACATTTAAAATTAGGTGACTGAAATCAGACGTCTGACAACAGACAACTGACATCACACATCTGACATCAGACAACTAAAACCAGACATCTAAAATCAGTCATCTGACAACACAACCTGACATCAAACGTCTGATGTCAAACACCTCATATCAGACATCTGACAACAGATGTCTGACAACACACATCTGAAATCAAACACTTGACATCAGACGTCTGACATCAAACATCTGAAATGAGACACCTGAGATCAGATGTCTGACATCAGACACCTGACATCAGACGTCTGACATCAGACACCTGACATCAGACATCTTACATCAGACGTCTGACAACCTACATCCGATTCAGACATTTAAAATTAGGCATCTGAAATCAGAGGTCTGACATCAGACATCTAAAATCAGACGTCTGACAATCTGACCTGATATCAGACGTCTGATTTCAAACACCTGAAATCAGTAGTCTGACAACAGACGTCTGAAATCAGTCACCTGAAATCAGAAGTCTAAGAACAGACACCTGAAATCAGATGTCTGACATAACACATCTAAAATCAGACGTCTGACATCAGACATCTAAAATCAGACGTCTGACAACAGACACCTGATATCAGACGTCTGATATCAAACAAATGAAATCAGACATCTGACAACAGATGTCTCAAAACAGACATCTGACATCAGACGTCTGATAACAGAACTTGACATCAGACGTCTGATAACACACACCTTACATCAGATGTCTGATATCAAACACCTGAAATCAGACGTCTGACACCAGACATCTGAAATCAGACGTCTGACAACAGACATCTGACATCACATGTCTGATAACAGAACCTGACATCAGACAACTGATATTGGACACCTGACATCAGACGTCTAATGACAGAACTTGACATCAGACGTCTGATATCAAACACCTGAGATCAGACGTCTGAGATAACACATCTAAAATTTAGACGTCTGAGAACAGACATCTAAAATCAGACTTCTGACAACAGACACCTGATCTCAGACGTCTGATATCAAACGCCTGAAATCAGACATCTGAATTCCGACATCTGACATAAGACGTCTGATATCAGACACCTGACATCAGACATCTGATAACAGACACCTGACATCAGACGTCTGATAACAAAACCTGACATCAGACAACTGATATCAGACACCTGACATCACACGTCTGATAACAGAACTTGACATCAGATGTCTGAAAACAGACACCTGAAATCAGACGTCTGACATCAGACATATGAAATCAGACATTTGACAACAGACAGTTCTGTTATCAGACTTCTGATGTCAGGTGTCTGTTGTCAGACACCTGACATCAGACGTCTGACATCAGACATCTGAAATTTGACGTCTGAAAACAGACGTCTGACATCAGACAGCTGACATCAGACATCTGACATCAGCCATCAGACGTCTGACAACCTATATCTGATTCAGACAATTAAAATTAGTTGTCTGAAATCAGACATCTGACATCAGACATTTAAAATCAAACGTCTGACACCATCAGACGTCTGATATCAAACACCTGACATCAGACGTCTGATATCAAACACCTGGAATCAGACGTCTGACATGAGACATCTGAAATCAGATGTCTGACAACAGATTCCTGACATCAGACGTCTGATAACAGAACCTGACATCAGACGTCTGATAACAGAACTTGACATCAGACATCTGATATCAAACACCTGAGATCAGACATCTGACAACAGACATCTGAAGACAGACACCTGAAATCAGACGTCTTACATCAGACATCTAAAATCAAACGTCTGACAACAGACACCTGATATCAGACGTCTGATATCAAACACCTGAAATCAGACGTCTGACATTAGACATCTGACAACAGACACCTGACATCAGACATTTGATAACAAACCCAGACATTAGACGTCTGATATCAAACACCTGAAATCAGACGTCTGACAACAGAGGTCTGAAATCAGCCACCTGACATCAGACGTCTGATATCAGAAATCTGAAATCAGATGTCTGATAACAGAACTTGACATCAGACGTCTGATATCAAACACCTGAGATCAGACGTCTGAAAACAGACACCTGAAATCAGACGTCTGACATCAGACATCTGAAATCAGATCATCATATTAATTCTCATAACCTGTTGATTTTGGTCATTCAGTGGACTTAAAAGCTAGGTCAATGATTTTTTCAGGGTTTTCAATAAGGTTTTTATTAAGCTGGCAAAAGCTTTGGAGTAGGTAGAGAAGGAAAAAACTCACACTTGCAAGTGTTGATAAGGGGGATCCAGGGGCCAAAAAAAATAATTTTGAAATCAGGGCCTCTTAGAGTGCATTTCCAGCATTCTGGAGCAAAAATTAGAATGTCTGAACAGAACAAAGACATTGCTAAATTTTGGCCTTTAAAGAGGAGGGGGGGGGGGGGGTAATTTCCAAAGAAAAGTAGGTAGAAAGTTTATGTGAATTAGCCGGTGAATTTTGCCAGCCACCAGCTCTTTTTCAGAACCCTGATTTTTTGGTTTTGACACTCAAACAGCTACCATTGCAGGGTTATAATTAAAGGATGTATGTAGATGAGTTAAGCATTTGTGGTGGAAAGGAGGACTGTAAAATGTTTATTATCAATATAATGCACAATTTGGACCCCTAACTGCTAGCTTCATACAAAATCCTGCATCCCTGGCAACCCTTGGTTTCCATGATCTTAGAGCTTCAGTACCTTGAGAGCCTGCTGAAGAGTGAATGACTTTCAATTCAACAGTTGATCCTCCTTTTTTTAGTGCTGCAACCTGTTGATAAGAATGCAACAAAAGCCAGTAAGTTACTAAGTAGCTTCAAAAAGAGTTTGAGCCAGAACAATGTAAGTGGACATCCATAATTATTCCTTCTAAGGAATTACTTAAAGGACCCCATCCTTTGAGCAGGTCTGGTGGCAAGCCCTCTCCCACCTGCAAATATGGATCAAATTCAGGCCTCTTACAGGGCTCATACAAAAAATTTCAACTATTTTTTTAACGACTTTTCAAGGAGCATGCACCTACCAGGAAGGTAATTTCCCAGATTGTAAAAAAATGCACATTCCCAGTCCATGGATTGTAACAGGACTTAATGGCTTTAACTATTTGCCCCACCAATGTATCTACATTTTTCAGTACACTTACTGTCTTAAATATTGATACTCAATTCTTACATAAAACAAAAACACTTAGTGTAAATCACCTTTAACTTCTCTGAGCTATGACTTATGTTGGATAACCAAAAAGATATAAAAAACACTTTCCAGGGCCCTACATTCAAAGTTGAAGAAAATTCAAGGACCTTTCAAGGACTTGCACAGAAATTTAAGGACTTTTCATGGAAAAATAGAAGGACTTTTCAAGACTGTGTGAACCTTGTCTTGGGCTGCTGCAGTAAAATCAGCAGCTATCTTAAATTAAGTTTCAAAATGAGTCAGACACAACAAAGATAGGAGGATTTGTAACATAAATAACCAGCTTAACTTTCCCTGAGAGACCAGCTACTTAAAACCTTAATGACAGCCCTGTCCTAGAGTAACAGAGTAGTGTAAAATGTGACACTTACTGCCTCATCATGTGAAGCCTTGCGTATGTCTCGTCCATTGACCTTAAACAGATTCAAAGCAACCAGTGAATAAAAATATGCATGTTACCCTTAAGATCCCACACTTTACCCCAAACCAACCACTTTGAGAGAATGCTATACATTTAAAAGTGAACAAATGCATCGCTTAGTGTAGGTTAGGTGGCTGGGAATGAATGCAGTGTCTCAAGCACATGGACCTGATGAAAGCAAGGCAGACTGAACCACCGAACTGAATGCTGAATAATAACATGTGATGGAGCTCTTTACTGTTAACTGAGTTCAAGAGTCATTTAACTGCATCCAAAATGCCCCCTACGGACCTCCCCTATACTTAGAAGGAATGTCATTAATATCATCAATGCCTTCTCAAACCCTCTTCCTCTTGAACATCGCCAAGGTCCCATCCAAAGACCCCCCGACTTGGAAGGAATCCAATTCACATGATCAAGGTCCCCTCCAGACATCCCCTAATTGGGAGGAATCCAATGAGCATCACTAGGTCTTCTCTATAGATGTCCCCCACTTGAAAGGTCTCCAATTAAAATGACCAAGGTCCCTTCCAAAATGTCTCCAACTTGGAAGGTATCCAATTATCATCATCAAGGTCCCCTCCAACTTTTTCCCACTTGAAATTAAGGAATCCAATGCTAGTCTCCAAGGTCACCTCCAAACTTGCCCCGCTTGAGAGGAATGTAATGAACATCACCTAGGTGCCCTTTAAATGTCCCCCAATTGGATGAAATCCAATTAACATCACCAAGCTGCCCGCCTATAAACATCCCCCACTTGGAAGGAACCCTCTTGACAACACCAATTCAAGGTCCCCTCCAAAACATTCTATGCTTGAAAGGAATTAATGAAATGGACCTTGCTAGGTGCTTTCCAAATGTTCCCCAGTTAAAAGGAATTCAATTAACATCACCATGAAGTCCTCAACTTCGATAAAATTTCAATTAACATTGCCAATGTCTTCCCCAAAAGTCCCTCAATTGGATGAAATACAATTAAAATCACCAAGGTGCCCTCTAAACATCTCCCACGTGGAGGGAATCCAATTCACAACACCAAAGTTCCTTCCAAAAGTCCCCCCCAGCTGGAAGGAATCCAAGTAATGTGACAAAAGGTCCCCTCCAAGCTCAGTCAACAAGGTCCCCTCTAAGCAGGGCTTCTGATATTTCGCGCGGTCGCGGACCCGCGAAATTCCCAAAAAAATGTGAAATACCGCAAAACCCGCCAGAAATATTTACAAATACATGTCGGTAAAACATATTTAATACTTATCTTGGCTATTAGACCCGTTTTACTCACCCCAAACATCCAAATTTAGCTTGAAACTTCGTCACTGCAACGAGTAAACAACGTCCCAAAACTACCAGGCGTTTTTAGATGAACGCTGCGAAAAACTGGGCACTAACCATAATGTTAATAGCTTTAGCATTCACTCATTTCTCGAGCAAACTGTTGTTGAAAAAGCAAATGATTATCCCTGTTAAAAAAAAGGTTCACCAACGCTGGTCATATAGACGCAAAATTGATCGATTTTAGCGAAATTTGCCAAAAAAAAAAACTCCAGCGAAATTGGCTGTTTTTTACTGATTGTTTCTTGGCGAACTTTCCTCCCAAAATTTCCCGTGAAATCGGCCGATTTTTCTAAAAATTTGCCCCTGAAAATTCTTTCGAAAAATGACTTTTTTCCGCTAAAATCCCGTGAAATCGGCTGATTTTTCTGCGAATTTTGACTTCTTCCGCGAAATTGGCCGATTGTTCCACGAATTTGCCCCTGAAAATCCCGCGAAATTTTGCTTTTTTTTCTGCGAAATATCAGAAGGCCTGTCTAAGGTGCCCTCCAAACGCCCCACACGTGGAACGAATCCAATGAACATCACTGAGGTCCCCCTCAAACGACCCCCAATTGGATGATCCAATTAAAATCACCTGAAGGTGCCCTCCAGATTTCCCGCATTTGGAAGGAATCAAATTTATTATACCAATAAGGTCCCCTCCAAAATGCCCCCCACCTGAACTCAATTAACTAGGTCCCCTCCAAATGTCCTCCATTTACAAGTAAGGAATCCAATTAACATCAAAAGGGTCTCCTCTAAAATCCAAAAAAGCCAATTTACATAGCCAAGGTGCTCCCAAAAAGCCCTAAACATCCCCAACTAGCTAGGAAGGAATCCACTTAACATCAATGAGGTACATTGCCAGGGTCCAAAATAATTTTCAGACGGTGGCTGTACATGTTGACCAGCTGAAGAAATTTTGCTTAGTCAACTCTCGTTTCTGATAGTCAAAATATTGGGAAAAAAGTTAATTAATTTTATCCTTGTGTAATTTTCTATTCAAGAATGTGATTGTATTTTAAAATAAGGCAATAACAAAATAAAAATAAAATAAGCTCTTTATTGATTCCAAAAACAAACGTTCAGGACTACAATTGACAATTAGATAAAATTAAAAAGGCACCTGTTAATAAAACAGCATTTAAAACGTTCAGTCCTAATTTGAGGAAGTACCTAGGAGTGACTACAATTCCTAAGTAATAATTTGTTTTACAGGGTGAAAGGAGATCAACCAAAAGGCCCTCAGCAGAATTTGTGACGTTCTTCCACAAATTACTATCTTTAAGGCCTCTGGAGGCCTTCAAATGGGCATGGCCTCCTCCAGTGAGACAAAGGTTAGTATTTGGCTGTTTGTTCAAGAATGAGAGTAATTATTGTGACCGGTCAACTTGACCAGTGAGTAAAGTTTTTGGGCCGGTCAAGTTGCAAATCAGGCCAGACAGAGTCTGTTGACAAGCCGTCATTTTCACCACGGACTCCAAACTTAACATCACACAGGTCCCCTCCAAACGTCCCCTAGTTGGGAAAATCTAATTAACACAACCAAGGTGGACCAGTCATTAACAAAGTGCTAAAAAACTCCTTACCTCAAGTATAATATCGCCCTCATGAAGTTGGCCTGTTTCATAAGCTTAAAAAAAAAAAGACCAAAGAAAAGGATCAGAATGAATAGAACAATATAAATAGGAAGAATGCTCACAAGTAAACAAGTTTCAAGGAAATTACTAACAAAACACACCTGAATCTTTAACCCTTTATACCCTAACATCAAAATATTATTTTTTCCTTAATCTGTTGTACCATACATTTCCTTTACTTAATAATACATTGTAGTGGCAATAAAGCATTAAAGTATCATCATTCATCATTCAAAGACAGTTAATTTTAGGATTATAGCACAGACTTTGTTCCACATCCTAACATTTTGTGGGAAAAGGAAAGGAATGCCTCTCAAAAAAGGGGGTTCGTGGGAACCTCGGGGCTCCCCTGGGCAATAGGCTACTCGCGCTAAGAGTTCACATCACCAATGCTTCCTTTAAACAATGAGTTGGAATCCTGCTGATGCCAAAAATTGATAGAGCGAACAGAAATTATCTTACACCAGAAATTTGAGAGGAAACGCAATTAAGGGAGATATTTTATGGCACTTTGATTTTTCAACTAAGTAGTATGATTTGTATTGGCTGCCATGTTGGAGAGCATACCCCTGCCCTCCAACATGGCAGCCAAAACTACTTTTTGCTTCTGTCTTGTTAAACGTTTGATAGTTATGCTCAGATGTGCTGAAAATGTTACTAAATCATCTTTACAACAATTTCCTTGAAGTTTAAGTGCAAAATTTCTGTTCAGAAAGAGATAATTCATAGTTTTAAAAATCACATTTTGGTCACGTGACCAGATAGAACTTACTCATTTTAAGAAAATGTTGTGGGTTTGAAAAACTAAATCACTATTATTTTGTTTAAAATATGACCCACTAATGGTTTTTTGAAGGCAAAATCATATAAGTATAACAACTTTCATTTTCATAAAAATGATATCATATGACCTTGTAGTGCAAATGGCCTTAATTGCCTGTATGAACTGCCTGCTGGGAGAATAAAAAATGGCCATTGAGGAAGGGTGGGCAGAGGGAAGTTAATAAATTTTCATGTTTAACTATAATTTACACAATTAAGTGATCATATTCTATATTATTTTTACAGTCAAGTTCAATTCTGTACCTGCTTGGTCCTTGTATATTCTTGAAATAGCTATTGGTAGATTACTTTCACGACCCCCCTACAAAACAATTTTTTTTATCACGTTAACATTAAGCTTAGAAATAACATATGTAGGATTGCAAAAAGTAATGTAAGAAGAATAGAGCAAGTGCGATTTTACCCCCAAAATTAATGATGCATGCAACAATTTTTACCAAGGAGAAAAATCTCTTATGTAAGTAACATAGGCATGTGTGTACCTGCAGTGGAATGACTTTTGACCCCTTTTCATGGGATAGTTTGGCTATAGACTGGTATGGTGTAACCATAACTACTGTTAATGGTTTTGTTCTGTCTGAGCCTTCCACAGACTAAGATTGGTTTGTTCTTTGTATTATTTTGCCTCTTGAGGACAGTGGTCCAGGTTTACAATAGTGTACAGAAAATTGCACTTTTTGATCTAAATTAAAGTAAGGGTGATAATAATAATCATCGTCATCATCACCATCATCATCGTTATCATCATCTTCATCATCACCATCATCATCGTTATCATCATCATCTTCATCATCATCATCATCATCCTTATCATCATCATCGTCATTATCACCATCACCATCGTTATCATCATCATCATCATCATCATCATCATCATCATACAGTTGAACCTTAATAACTTAGACTCAGATAACTTGAATTCTTTGCTAACTCGAACTAAATTTCCTTTCCATTCATCAAAATTTCACTGAAATTTACCCCGATAACTCAAATTCTCCGCTAACTCAAACTGTGTTTCATTTCCCTTCAGAGTTCGTGTTACCAGGGTTCTACTGTAATAATAAAGCCTTTGTTCTATGGGTAGCTGTCATGTTGTTTTTCATCAAGATATTCATACACTCTCTTGATGATGACGGAATCTAATATCTTATAGTTTGTAGGAAGGCATGTGAGGGGATGACAGTTTTCGTCGTCGTCATTATTATTATTATTACCTTTATGCTCATTCCCAATCCTCCAACTTTTCTCCTCATCACCGTAACTTTTCTTTCCTAAAAACAACAAATCAATAAAAAATATCAAAGAAGCAAGCACACAAATACATTGTTTTTATGTAAGTGACTTAAGTGACTGTACTCAAAAAAACAGTACCAAAACAAGCTCAGCTTACTAGGTCAATGAACTTGACATGCCACAGGCCTTTTAAGTTTCAACATTTATGACAAGTGGATGTATCAATTAACCGGGTGAAATTGTAAAAGGTTCTTGAAAATGTCGCCGTTGGCTGTATTAATGGGTGACAGTATTAATGAGGGTTTTTTACAAGAAAATGTTTGGCCATTATGCTACGCCAAAAAAAAGTAGCCGTATTACCGAGGTGGTCATTGGGTGGGTTCCACTGTACAAGCAAGAGGCAGGGTTGTCGTTAAGTTAAGGGCTGGGAGTCGATGATTTCCTTTGTCTGTGATGAACTTGATCTCCGGCTACTACCATAGGAAAACAGACGAAAAATAGAACTAAAAAAAACCCTAGCTTCTTGATTCCCCACCTTCATCTTATATTTACCCACCAACTTGAGATCTTAGTGACAGCCATGGAGAGGAATTTTTAATTTGGTCACTAGAATAATTCTAATTCTATGAAAGGATTGAAAAGACAGTTATATGACTAAGAAACTACAATGATATGATCACTGTAAGACCAGATCAATGAACTGTTTGTATTAAACCTACCCCTGTTGGTGGGAGTTTCCTCTGAGTTGGAGAGGGTGTCTCCCCATTTGTGCTCTGGAAATAAAAGATGAAACAGTTGCATTATTGACCAAGTGTGAGGTCAAGATAGCTGGATATTGGCCTTCTGAGTCCTTTTTGCATTTTTATATATGGACCAAGACAAAGTCCAGTTCAACAAGAGCACTCTTAATAGCATTGAGTCTCGCTTGCTTGGAAATAGGATAAGAAATGAGGAGGCGATTAGACTGTGAGCGGTTGTCCTTCTTTCCTCAGAGCCATGCGCAGCGAGCAAAAAAGTAAAAATAATGCTGTTGACCTGCCGTGACTCAAAAAGAAATAAGAGACCGCTCTCAGACAGGAGGCGATATATTCAACATGAAACAGGATTTCCTCGCTAAAAGTTTTCCACTTCCTACTTTATCAACCGTCGAGTACTCTTCAGGATATTTACTTTTTATATTGTATTTGACGATTTGCTTCTGAATTGATCAGAACGCGTGCGTAAATACACAAAAATCAAGGAAATGTGATGAACATAATGCGTCATTTCAATCACGCCAAAAATTAGTGGCATACTCATCACAAGACTCATTTGCATACAACGACAGTTTACAACACCTGACCTAAACATTGAACTTTTGCTCATTAAGGTTTTTTCCTTTTTCCCCACCACTGAAGTAATCACGTGTTCCAAAGTAATCAGCGCTTTCAGGTGATAGAACTCATGGACCAACCCATTCCAGAAAAGCTCAACATCTTTCACAGCTTTCTATTCTATACATGGGTTTCATCATGCTGCGATTCTTATCCCCAGTTTCCATGGCCTTTACTAAGAATGCCTGGGACCATGACCCCCTTTTGGCATGTGCACACACACACAAAAAGAAAGAAACACTTGCATTTTAAGAGTCTCGCTGCTAAAGCAAGCGAGACTAATAAATACACAAAAATCATGAAAGAGGCCAATATCCAGCCATCTTGACCAAAAAAGGTCAGTCAATAAAAGATTTATTATATCGCCCAAAAGAGAACTTTATCTTGCAGGAAAAATGCATGAAATCTTATGGGGGGAAAGATAGGACACTCGGGTAGCCAATCAGGACAAAGGATTCCCTTTATAAATATCATACATTTGCTTTAAGAAGTAGTAATTACGGAATCTGATAGACGATCAAAACAGTTTCTCTTTTTTGGTGACCATTTCTTTTTAATTCAGGTAACCTGAATCCATCTTGCCAAATGAGGCAGCCAATCAGAACACACAATTTAATTGCCCACTCCCAGATTCAGCCACACCAGCACTCACAATCAAATTGCTTAAAATGCTTAAAAATCGATTTTAGATTTTTCACTTACCCCAGATGGAGATTTTTTCCATGTTGGTGAGTCTGCTTTGCCATTTGCATTCTAAAAATAACATCAGTCAATATTTGCACTTGTATGCTATGCAGAAACATTTTGGCATTAGAATTTAATTTTATCGCTCCTATTTGAGTACCAAGTATGTTACAATTTTTCATCCTTCTTCACTTACAACTTATTAACCTGTCACATGTTTTAACGTTTAATTACAGATGCAAAGGTGACCCAAAAAATCAAAGAAATTGAATATGAGATTGATTTTTTTTTTTAAATAAGTGTCACTTGCAACCAATTTGAACTCCTCAGCAGCAACTACATGTAGGCCCCATTAAAACGTCAAAAAATAATTTACCAGGACAGACGGTAGCATTTAACTCACATCCTCGTTACAGGTCAAAATTACATTCAGGGCCAGGTTGTTCAAAGCTGGCTTAAGATAACCCAGGGTTTCTGCAAAATTTGAAATCAGACTTGAATGCTTAAAAAGTAATAATTCAGTTTGATTCTTTCTGTCAACAAGTTGATGATTGTATGCTCTTAGAAATAACAGAGAAAATTATTGGAGAAAATGCTTTTGAACAAAAGAAGAAGAAACCCTGGTTAAATTTAACCCTGGGTTAAGCGCTAATCGGCCTTTGTCTCCTGGCCCTAATTATTCATGAATTAGGGCTAGGAGACAAAGGAAAAAGAGAATCAACCGAGGTTTAAAAAACTTTAATCTCAACTTAATTTTGACCTGCTGTAACATTCTCGTTAAAAATGTTGGGTTACTGTTTTCAAGATTCTTAGTTTCCACTGTCTGCCAAGGAATACATAATTGAATATTCTTTGGCTTATGCCAAGAGATTCAACCATAGAACCATAAAGAAATTATCATCTCATCATAAAAAAATCTGTGGGCAATTTTTTTTTTATTATTATTATTTTTTTTAATCACTCTTAGAGATTTGAACTAAGATAGTTAATGGTCTGTTAGAGCCTGGCTGCACATTTTGTGCTCCAAGGGGAACATTAACATAAAGAAAAAAAATATCAGACGATTGTATTTTAACTTTCAAGACTATTTCAAATACAACAAGTTCATTAATTTTCACTTAAACTGAATTTATTGTCATTGAGGAACAATGCTTTTTAATTATTTGTTTTTTCTGGAACATTTAAACTAAACGCAATTTTAAGGCAAAGAACTAGACGTTCCGTGACTATACATAAATACATGTAAATATATACTCTGTCTGTGTAAAGTCCATCGATGATAAGAAAAGACAAATCGCGCGTTTTCAAGAGATTGGTGAATAAATTAAAATTCTATGCAAATGCTTAGAAATTCATGATTTGCCCTTGCAATCAAATCGTGATTTACTTTAATGCATCAATGATTTAATAAGTATTTATAACTATAAAAAAAAAATAAAAAAGGACGTCTTTTCATTGAAACCATTGCATGTCTTCTTGCCGAAAACACTTTCACTTTTTGATCTCATTTTCTTTTCGTGATATTCTCTGTTACCCCAATGACAGAAATTTGCTAACTTATTTTTTAACATCCGAATTATGCAAATCTGTTAAAAGAGGACAAAGACGGACAAAGGAAATCATTTTAATGGAAGTGTTTGTGTGATCTCTAATTCACTTCCAGGTGTATATCATCAGAGACCACCCGGCTTCAAAGAAAAAGAAAATTGAAATGTTGTTTACTGGCCCCTGTTTCCAGCGAGAATACAGGCGATGTAACACCCTGGGAAATCAGTGAATTCATTCAATGAATTTGAATTGTTCGATACAAACGAATACGAAACGAAAAGTCAATAGTAAACAATCATAAAGGAAATTGAACAATATGGAAAATCGATCAAAACGTTAATTTCTTACTGGGAAATCAAATGGCAGAACATTTAACCTGATCCCAACTAAAATCGTCTTGATCTTGTAACGTCTAGTAAAAATATTCTCAGCTGAAGCTCAAGTTAAATGATAGAAAAAATAAAAAGAAGTAGTATTAGCTCACCCCGGGCTGATAAGCATGTGATGAACCCGTCGAACCGCTTCCTCCACCCTCCTTCTGTATGGTCAAGGCATCCCTCGATAACTTAACACGCACCTTCTGCAACTCCGAGCGATTAATTTGCATCGAAATACAGCCTGTTTTTAAGAAATTCTGTAATAACAACGAAGAACATAACGATTAGTCAAGATTAAGTCATACCAATACGTTCAGATTTCGTAGTAATCAACATCGTGCTTGTTGAAAATCATAAGAGTTGAATTACCTCGGCCATTTTTAAGTGGTGACTATATGGACAGCGACCTTGCTCCTCGTGTTATGTTTAATATTCACACAAAGAGGCCATGAATAAAGCAATTTAAGAGAAACAAAAAGGTTTTTAAACTTGCAAATGTCTTAAATATCCAGCAGAGCTTAAACAACCGACACAGCCTCCCTGTCTGCAGCTCATTGAAAATATCATGTTTTGATACGCAGTGGAGTCTTTCAGTGCGCGCGGGCGCAAATAGATTAATTTTGAAAGCCAATATTTGCATAATCTCTTCTGTGCTGGAGGTATTACTTGAGAAGTGTTAGATGATAAATGATCACTGTTATGTCCTGAAACATTTCACTTAAACTAGCTTGATCTCTTTACTCTCTCCATGATGAAAGGTATTTTTATACTAAGTAAAAAGCCATTGAAAATGGGTCCTCTGATTATCAACCTTGAAATTCTCTATACAACAGGCGATTTAGGAGGATTGGCCGATGGCTCAAGGCTCAAAAGGTTGTCCTAAACTCTACACTGCTGTCTACAAAACAGAAACACACTTCGAATTCCGGAGTAGAAGAAGAATCTGTGTTAAAAGAATGTTGTAAATCCAGCCTGAAGAACATCTCCCTTTGAAAAGGTAACAAAACCAAAAGACACAGATAGACAGCCTGGAGAGATTGCCTCCATTGTCTTGCACAAAACTGACTAAATTAGCAGCAAACGACCATAAATCATGCCATGCCTTCGGCGAACGACACTCAAGTGATTGACCAGTGTCCCAAGGTAGGGGGGATTCGTTAGTTTTTGAGAGGAGCACCTTATCACTTTCCACTAAAACGTGTATAGAAATAGAGGATAGAAAGTAGAGCATGAAATTACCACTTAGAGGTATTCAACAGGATTCAAGAAGAAGACTTTTGCCCTTTGTTAACTTATCAAATCTATCAAACGTAGACTAGCTGAAGTAAAGATCATAGCGCTACTATATCGTCCTCTCGGGATGGAGTGAATTTGATCACGCGCAATAACGCAGATGCATATCAAGAAGACTGCTTTAAGGTCAGGTTATTCTGTTAGTAAAGTTTTGCAAAATTTTTAAACTGAATATTGTTGCCATGGCGTGACTTGGCTTGACCCAAAAATATTTGCGAGATGGTATTTTTTTCACTACTAAACCGCTGATGATATGGAACAACGTGCTTTTTTACTAAAATATAAAGAATGAAACTGATCGTTTTATTTAACCGGTACCCTCTGGAGGGCGGTTTTATAGCAGGAAATATAAACGTATAAAGTCCCCGAGAGAACGACGCTCTGGGAGTCTTATAAACCAATGTTCATCTGGGCGTTACTTCAGGTACATACCTTTTTCAGAACGGCATCTCCTTTGCACAGTAGAAGAGGACGACCATTACTTATACCTTGGGGGTGCTATTAGTTTAAATCCTGTTCGGCACTGACATAAAAGCAAAATGAACTTCATTTCGCAAAATTTCACGACTTGTGTTACCTTGTTAACCAATTCCCGCCAGCAGAAAAAACAAGTGATAAGCGAAGTGTCGAAAGATAAAATCGATGACAGAAAAAGGCACCAATAGGATAAATCAACACAAAATTTGTGACAGCGTGATTCGAGTTTAGAATGAAGAATCAGTTGTTTAGATAGCCTTTCATAAGAACCGCTCAGGAAATTGTTACTTTAAGAAATAAAAAATCGTCCAATTCTACGTGGTAAACTTCTAGCAACATTGTTTAAACAAGTATGATCCATTTCTGGTTTATGTTGCAAATTTCTCAAAAATGTTTAAAAAAAATTGGAGGAAAAATTAAGAAAAGAGTTTGTGGTTAGACAGTTTCAATATCGAACAAAATGAAAATATTCCGGTTTTTTAATCAATGATCGGTCACCGTTCAGAGGAAAAGATTAGCGATAAAACCACAGATAATGGATAGATGAAAGATAAGGCGATTTGAGTCAAAAACAATACGTGATCAACCTTGCTCCTGAGGCATTTGTCATTGAAGTTATTCTGGGGTCATTTGACTGCCATACTTTCTATATTTACCCTTTCTTAATTGTTAATACTATTACATTCTAATACTCTTGGAAGGGAGCTGCATATGCCAAAAATTTCTCTCTGTGGTTTTTTATGTTTCGACATGTTGCACTTGCATCATATTAAGGAGTTTTGCTCCGTAGGGAAAGAAATAAACACAAACGGAAACAAAGCAAAACAAGGTCTGAAGGACTGCTCTTCTCATCATAATGCAGGGTATACTTAGGAAAATAAAAGAGGTCAAGGAGGCCTTGAAAAGAGCTAGTTTGAGAAAGGTGGTGATTCGATCCAGCGCTTGAAGTCGGAGAGCGAGAACAACCTCTGCTTTTCCACCAATTGCAACTTAAAGGCCATGGCCGTCTGCGTAGGTCTCCTTTCCGTCTCCTTAATTAGCTTCGGCGTTCGCTTCAGTTACCGGACACGCGCCTGTAAACAAGTTCTCTCTGCGATCTCCGGGCTCGACTCGATCGAGGAGCGGGCAAACGCAGCCGCTAACTGGAACTAAAGCCAGAAAGTGTTTAATATTTCAGTGGCTAAAACTATGTTTTTTATAGCTGATTTCAAAGCTCTAGTGTTTTGGCTCGAATTTTTGGAGAGAACTAAAGTCAGACTCTATATAGATCTATATAGGAGAGGAATCTTCCGATAGGAATTCGTTGACAGCTCTCTCCTCCGCCCAGGCCTCTTTGCTTCCAAGGACGCTCGGACGAGAGGGAGAAATGAAAGCGCGCGAGATCCGCGAAAGGGAGATCGAAATGAAAGAGCGCGCTTACTATTTTTTTCATTATTATTATTGGAGCCCCTGTGGAGGATTGAGTAGTAGCAGTGTGTGAATCAGAGAATAAAAAGAAAATTTTCGGAAATGGTCAGAATAGTGGAATACTAAGCAGGTGATCTTGCCATTCAACTGTGTCTTTGAAAGCGGGTTTATTTTCTTCCAAGTCAGAAAAGAATGATGTGCTATATTAGTCCGTAAGAATTAGAAGTTGCAGGCGATATCATTGTCGCCGAGAATAGCCCGAGCAAAGAACGCGTTTACTAAGAGAAAAGAACTGCTGAAAAGAGTCGTCATGATCAGCCTTTGCCTGAAGAAGAGAATTATAAAGACTGTCATCTGGAGTACTCTTCTGTATGGAGTCGAATCGGGGACGTTGAAGCCGCAGAGCTGTGAGATGTCTGTGG